CTTTTTACCTAGGCTGCAGGGCTTTCTCTCAAAAGCAGTGTTTTACGTGAAAATCAGGGTAGCTGTTTGAACGCTTTCAATTATGAATGCCGCCTTGATGTGACAAGCACTACAGCATGTACTGGAAATGTACCATGTCGTTCAGTTTTTCACAAGGAAGCCGAGATTCAGGGCGATGGTGTGTGGTGCTGCCTTAAAGATATGTGCGATTGCATGGCCTGAGAAAGATTAGCATCTTGCGGTTAGGGATGCATCCATTCTGTTATCTGATAAATAGTTGCATGTCGTCAAGTCAGTTTGGCCCAGATGCGTGCCACCTTGGTCCTTGTCCTAGAAAACTTAGAGCTCCACTCGTATCTCCTTAGGGACAAGTGACAGTTCCCCTTAAACATCTGAGAAAGTGTGTTGGGAGTTCCTATCCATGGATGTGCCAATCTTGTCAATAAGAATGAAGTTGGGAGATGTCGTTACTGATATCTGTGGAACGGGTGGAACTTTTGGGGACTTGTTTGTTCATCCACCAAAGACTAGCTGAGTGTTTCTGAAATGCCGTGCATCGTTCCAGGGGATGGTCACTCAGTAAGAACTATGGTAAGAGAGACTTTTGCTCGATCCTACCACATGGAGACACCGCTGTACAAATTTCTCCATGCATAAGAATTTCATAGCGTGAGGTGGAGGGTTGCATGGAAAAAGCAGCATATGGTGTAGGTGGCAGTTGTCTTAGCTTCATTGTCCTTGTCTGCTTTGCTTTTCCCAGCAGGCCGACCTCTGTGCCCTGGAGTTTTCGTAAGGAATCGTCTCCCTTGGGACCTGTTGGCTACTCATCCTTCCTCGGAGCCTCGCGCTTGGCGGAATTCAGTTCCAGGATTAAGGGAGGGCCGCTCTTCGCAATGGGCTGCCCCGAAAACCGCTTGGTTTGTTCTTAACGTTGGGCTCTGTCTATGAGCCATCTGCGAGGCTTCCTAGCTAGCCCGTCGCCTCTCCTGGGTCTTCGGCTGCCTGGAAAGCGCCCCCGTCTCCTCGGGCTGGCTTCACGCCTTGGTCTGCTTGGTGTTGCATCCCACAGACACGTGCGGATGTGGGAGTGAACAATGTTGAGACCTCAAGGACTGATATGGCTCCCGCTGTTCTTCACCCCGGTCTGCGTCATGGTGAAGTCCAATGTCCTCCTGTGGATAACCGCTCTCGCCATCAAGTTCACGCTCATTGACAGCCAGGCACAGTATCCCGTTGTCAACACCAATTATGGCAAAATCCGGGGCCTAAGAACACCGTTGCCCAATGAGATTTTGGGTCCAGTGGAGCAATACTTGGGGGTCCCTTACGCCTCACCCCCCACCGGAGAGAGGCGGTTTCAGCCCCCAGAACCCCCATCCTCATGGACTGGGGTTAGAAACGCCACCCAGTTTGCTGCGGTGTGTCCCCAACACCTGGATGAGAGATCTCTGTTGCATGACATGCTGCCCATATGGTTTACTGCCAACCTGGATACTTTGATGACCTACGTTCAAGATCAAAGTGAAGATTGCCTTTACTTAAACATCTATGTGCCCACGGAGGATGGTAAGTACTTGAGTTAAACAGAAGGCACCACCCACCCACTCAGAGATTTGCCGATACGGTTTTAGGATGTCCTGTGCATGGTATTTTCTGTAACCCATTTATTTGTTCTCGTATTCTAAATGCAGATATGCAGTAACTTAGGATTTGTCCCTCTTGTATTTATAGACCTCTAGGAGATGGTCAGTTCTCTACTAAATGACTTCATGATTTTTATAGTTTGCCTTTGGAGCCATGATACAGTGTTTATTAGCAGATGGTGTTACATGGGGTACCTGAGTCATCTGTAAAGGAATGAACCTCTCAAAAATAATAGAATTCAGAACATGG